ATTCTGAAGTTAGAATTAAGACTGAGCAGTGTTGAAAGAATCTTCGAACATGTCTTTGCGCACGCGCAAACCTCGATACCGTGGGTAAAACACAAGAGAAAAATAATTTTCAAAAAATCTCTTTTGTTGAAAAAAGTATCCTTAAGTTTACAATGCAAATCATTCAGTCTTAGGGAGCATTCCATCCATGAAATAAAAATTACGTAAGTAATAGAAAGTTGTTTATGGAATACCCACCTGTACGGTGGCCCAGAAGGCTCAACGCAAACAAAAAGTATACTGCAGCGGTGGGGGCAACAAGGTAATTTGGTTTTATCAACTAAGTTGAAATTGTAAATTGGCCATCGTAACGAGTTGAAAAGCTGACGTTTAGAGCGTTAGCTCTTCGTCAGAGCCGGAAATTCGAAACTCGTGATTCGCTCTGACGAAGGGCAAACGCTGGAAACGTCAGCTTTTAACTCTTTACGGGGGGCAATTTACAATTTCAACTTAGTTAATATAACCAAATCATTTTATAGTTCGATCGTGCAGCGTTGTAACTCACGTGTTCGCGATTTTAATCAGTAAAGGAGTGAACAATTCACTAAACAAAGTGTGCGTTCCCAATGGAGATCCGTAACTTTTCAGTCAGTTTGAAAAAAAAATTAATGCCCATTCGACCAGTCAGATACATGGTTACATCCATGTTGGCTCCGACTTAATTATCTCTCTATGTTTTGGAGCTTGACAACGGTTGCTTTCTTTCTGGGATAAAATTCTTCTGTTGATCAACAGTTGACCAAAAAAGTATGAATATGGAATTATAACTGAACAGTGCTCGAAGGTGGACCACAACGCACCGATCCTCCATCATGTCTCTGCGCATGCGCAGCCTTGATACCGTGAGTAGAAAACGCCGTCTTCGCCATTGCCTTGACCATTGCCTTTGGATAAAATATATGCTTTTAAAAAGTCCCTTGAGCTGAAAGAAAGGTTTCTTCAAATGCGAATTATTCAGTCACGGGAAGCGTATAATCTTAGATGAAAATTATGCATAAGTAATTAAGCTTTACATTAAAGTTCACACAACAACCAGATTGTCAATCAGACATGGTTAGATGCCACTCTGGTAGAACGATTTAATGAATGTAACCGAAATTACAAATCATCGACCCAACGTTTCGACACTCCAATCTAGTGCCTTCATCAGGGGTGATCTGATCGTTGCAACAAGAGGCCTTTATAGATGCTCACTAATTCGCTGCCATTTTTTCTGACGAGGTGTAAAATTGGCGTTAGGTGGTAAGCCGCGATCATCACGATTTAAAGGAGCGTGGACGGAGTTGATATGCCAAGCTTCCAAACAAAAGCGCTGGTAGTAGCGGCGATTAATAGTGATAACTTTAGAATTATCCCATCCAATTGTATTGTTGATTAGGAATTTGTGCTCCGACAAAGCTGAAGTTTCTTTTCTGCAAAAAAAGACCTTTTTCTAATACTCTTTCAAACGTGTACCAAACTAACGTTTGGTCTGTCCAATATACTCACGATCAGACATTACATGGAATAGAATAAATAGCATCGGTTTTGTTGTTCTTTCGTAACAGGATCCTTAGGTTTGTCAAAAATATGCCTCAAAGTCTGAAAAGGTTTTTGAGCAACTTTAACGTTGTGGCTATTCAAAATTCTCTTGATGGGCTCCGTAACACCCTGGATGTAAATAGGGAATGAGAGCAAAACCAGTCGCTGGTTCCTTTTCATCAGGAGTGTTACTCGTTGTAACTGGTTACGGAGAGATGTTTTGGTATAGCCATTTGCCTTTAAGACATCAGAAACATATCGTTTTTCTCTCCTCAACCTTAGAATCAAGTGAAGACCAAATGAAGCTGTCTATTCAATTCACCATTAAACGTGACAAGGAAACTGTATACTTGCCATTTCTCGACTCAAATGTTTGTAGAGCGGAACAGGGGAAATTAGAGACAAGTGCTTATCATAAATCGACCCAAACCGACAAGTACCTCGCTTTTGACTCTCAGCATATCCTAATTGCCATAAAAAAATCCGTAGCTCAAACTTTATTTAGGAGGGCTGACTGTCTACCGACTTCACTTGATTCTAGTCAAAGAAACACTTGATTATTAAGCAAATCCTCATTGTCAGTATCAAAGGAAACCTACTGAAAACAGTATGGAGAAAATGTACACTGATATAGGCCAAGGTATATGTGTTCATTGTGATGCCTCAACAGATCACAGACTATTACAAAACGGCTGGGAGATATGGAGGAAAAGGATTTCTCCTCAGGGATCCATCCACTGTAGAGATTGACAAAACACTCTCACAAGCGCAAGAAGTCGCTAGGGATGGCACTGCTGTGCTGATTAATGCTCTGATTGGGAAAACTGACTTCAGACAGGGATCCATCTCAGTATGACAAATTTCACTATGAATTCGGGACAATTTTACATCAAATTAACCAACTATGAGAAGAAATTAACATCTAATTTAAGTCAAGAAGTAATGGTTGTTGAGCCTCAGATTAAACTTTCTAGCGTTTTTACAGGTTTCATAACACACATGAGATGTTGGGAGAACATGAGAATACAGTCAAACCTCCACTAACGGCAACCTTTCTTTAATGGCTACTTTTTTTGGTCCTAGCAGGCTGTCCATACATTCATTTAAACCTCTCTACAATGGCCCCTTTTTTCGGTCCTAGCAGGCTGTCCATTCATTCATTTAAATCTCTCCACAATGGCCACTTTTTTTGGTAGTAGCAGGCTGTCCATACATTCATTTAAACCTCTCCACAGTGGCCCCCTTTTTTGGTCCTTGCAGGCTGTCCATTCGTCCATTTAAACCTCTCCACAATGGCCCCTTGTTTGGGTCCCAGCAGGCTGTCCATACATTCATTTAGACCTCTCTACAATGACCCCTTTTTTCGGTCCTAGCAGGCTGTCCATACATTCATTTAAACCTCTCGACAATGGCCTCTGTTTTGGTCCTAGCAGGCTGTTCATTCGTTCATTTAAACCTCTCCACAATGAGCCCTTTTTTGCTACTAGCAGGCTGTTCATTCGTTCATTGAAACCTCTCCATAATGGCCCCTTTTTTGGTCCTAGTAGGCTGTCCATACATTCATTCAAACCTCTCCACAACGGCCACTTTGTTTTGGTCCTGACGGGCTGTCCATACATTCATTTAATCCTCTCTACAACGGCCACCTCGACCACAATTGCCACTTTTTTCGGTCCTAGCGGGCTGTTCTAACATTCATTTAAACCTCTCTACCATAGCTCCTTTTTCGGTCCTAGCGGGCTGTCCGTACATTCATTTAAATCTCTCTACAATGGCTCCTTTTTTTGGTCCTAGTGGGCTGTTCAAACATTCATTTAAACCTCTCCACAATGACCCCTGTTTTTGGTCCTAGCGGGCTGTCCGTACATTCATTTAAATCTCTCTACAATGGCTCCTTTTTTTGGTCCTAGCAGGCTGTTCATTCGTTCATTTAAACCTCTCCACAATGGCCCCTGTTTTTTGTCCTAGCGGGCTGTCCGTACATTCATTTAAATCTCTCTACAATGGCTCCTTTTTT